TAAACCGAAGAATCACTATATTCCTCGGCTCGGCTTGTTTAGATGCAGAACTAACTAATGATCATGGAGTGGTCAATGATATTCATTATAGGCATTCGTTGTGCAATTATATATTAGTGCATCTATAGAGTACAAGTAAATGTTATCTTTAGGTTCCTGAACGAGTACGAAGTGGTCTGAGACTCTGAATCGAACGCTTCACCATACAAAGAGACTACTTCTATAAATCTAGAGAAACTCAAGTCACCCAGCGCTTGGAATGGACGATACAAAAGCTGGGGTGTTAATTTATATAGAATTTAGGTCTAGTCGCTAAACCTCTTAATACTTACTAGACTTATCATAGTATTGAACTTTACTGATAATTATCAGAAAGCCTTCGACGAGTTAGTCAAGGATCGACCTGGGGGGCTTGGGATACCGCAATTAAATATCGGAAACCTTTATAAATGATGGAGGATAAAGTTCAAAGTGCGCAGATGCCTCTCCTCAATCATTTTCCTTATCAGATACACCTTCGCACTATTCCTCAACAGGCTCCGTGGTCACTTTAGGCGCTTCACGCTGAATGAGACCATTCTCTGTGAAGCGTTTCGTACATTCTTCTAAATCGCCAATATCCGTTTACCTTCCTGCATGATCGGTTGATCCTCTCAATCGCCGTAGAAGAACTCCCGTACCACTCCAGTGAAACCCCTCTCGTTGTGAAATCGGGGGAGAATTCCCGTGTAGTTCATATTGACAAAGTACTGTAAGTTTTTCTGCCGCAATAGAAAGCATCGGACCTAAGATAGGAGTAATCCCGCCATCCCGGTTGGTTGGGCATCAAGGAGCCAGTATCGTCAAATTCTTGCTGGCCGAGTTAAGAGATCTTTTCCTTTGGTAGTTTCTCGTATTCTCGTGCATCTATCGGCTCGTCAGGAAAAAGGACTCGATCTATTCTCAACTGAAACTTGTTTGTTCTTCCAAAGCCAGATATGGAAAAAGAGGAATTTGAGCTACTCACGTATAACGTAAGTCTGTATAGTTATTGAACATCAATCATACCCACGCGGTCTTCTATGCTCAACTTGAAGAGAGTATATGAATTCATACCTGCTTATCAGAAGCTCAAAACATAACATTGTCTTGAATTAGATACAGAAGACAAATGGTTGAAAGGATGATATCATGCTTTTGTAAATAAGGACAATAAGTAGTAGGCTGTGCTATCATTCTTTGCGCACTCGCTTTAAGGAAGGAAACCTAGTCTTCACTGAGTGGAACCGACTGATAGACATATATACACTACAATAAAGATGATTTTGTAGTCCTCATATAACACTTCGCATTCAAACGTACTTGTTTGTACCTACCTATTCATACGTTTCCCGAAGAGCGTGCCCACTGTGGAGAGACCGTGCAGTGCATTATGATCAGTTTCTAAACGACGCCAACTCAAACCTGCAAGTCACAATGTGCTGGGCACATGTCACCGAAGAGAAGTATCGCTACACATCACATATGACCCAACCAATCGAAGCCAAGGCCTACGACATTTTTGGTTCACTTGATACTTTGTACCCTAACCTGAATATTCTTCATTCCTTCAGCCCAAGAAGTACTTCAATACATTATTCTTCATTCATGATATGCAGCCAGCCTCCAACGCCAAGAGACATACTGACGTCTTGCCTTCATATAGTGAGGTACACAATACACCATTCCTCTATCGTCTTAACCGCCAACGGTGATCTCAGCAGTAGGATCCTTCCTAATGTCCAATTCCATGAGACCTTCTTGCTTCTCAATCACCAAGCCCTTTTCATTAGCCAAATGCAACAAACAGATGAAACAATAACTAGTCGAAATGTCGTTCATGGCCTGCTTGGGATAGACACTTTGCAGGTTCTGCATCACCGACGTGAATTTTAGACTGCCATCTTCTCCCTTCTTTGGGTCCGATTGAGGGGTTGGTAGTCTTCCTGGTGTTTGGGTGGGTATGTTCTGTTGATATTGTTAGAAGACAAGATCTACCAGCGGTAATGAGCTTGTGTACTTACGAGATCAAGTGCATCGATACCCATGCCCTTCCACAGCTCTTCCTTTAGCCTGCGAACATCCACTTTCTTCGCAACCCGAGCATACTGTACATATTCCGGTCTCATTCTCCTACTCTGAGTTACGAGTTGGGCACCAAAAGCACCCTCCTCTCCCTCTGGAAGTTGAGTCATTCCACCATTCAGAACGTTGTTGATACCCGCCATACCACCTTCTCCCCGTTCCTCGGCACCAGGTGAGAAGTGATCTCGAGCATCTGCAAATTCGATATCGTCGTCATCGTCCATTCCTCCGGGCATAGGTAACCCATCGTCTTGAAAGAAATTCGCGTCATAATCACCCTGAGGCGCGTCATCAGCTGCAAGTGGTCCTTCATTTTGTGCCCAGAAGGCTTCATCCATCTCTCCCTCAGGTGTCTCTTCTTCCTTGCGTTGTCCGAAGTTATTTGTCCTCATTCCGAGCCCAGATCTGCGACTACCCATGCGAGCCCTAGGCTTCAAGAAGAGTCGTAAGAGCTGCTTCGAGTTGAAGTGCTTATCATCTGGAAGGAGATTCCTGGTCTTGGATTTCCAATCTTTCTTTGGTAGGGAGATGACGTTGTTGGAAGATGCCTGGGTGTATATGGTTTCTGCGAGACTTGCCGACATAGGAGAGAGGAAGTCTATCTCGAACAGTTCCTTCTCCTTTCGTACTTTGGTCGCCGATGCTGGCTTGTTGATGTCCTTGATCTTCCGAATTCTCCAATGCTCTGGTCCCGCCCAATTCTTCTGAAGTGCCTCGTCGAAGTAGCTCAAGATGTCATCGTGGCCGCCTTGGACTTTCGAGCCGTGATCCAAGGATATGACATATTCGCCGGTCTCAGGGTGAAAAGCTCCCGCGCCTGCACCATCGCCGTCTTCACCATCGCCACCTCCCATACCATCGTTGTCGAAGCCTCCATCATGCACACGCATTCGGGTATCGATGGCTGCATCTCGAGCCCATGCCTCACCGCCCTCACCAAAGCCAGTGTCAGCGGGAATTTCAAACCCTCCGAGGAGCCCATCTTCGTCATCGTCGAATCCGGGTGGGTTATCATCATCCAGGAAGATCCCCGACTTATCGCCGACAGCGGTTTCTTCAGGCTTGTCCTTGTCTCTCCAGTCTTCTGGTGCCTTTAAGAACGGAATATCCATGGTACCGGAAGGATCCCCCAAGTCGAAATTCTTCAAAGAGGGGCAGATATCCTGTTCATCCAGAATTTCCAGACTTGGGAAGAACTTAGCACCAAGAGCGCCAATATCGATCTCGACATCCTCCTCATCTTCCTCGAGATCCTTGGTCGTTACGTCGATCATGGAATCGGCTTGTGTTTCCTCTTCCTCTTCGATAGCATCACCCTTTCGTTGTCTACCTTGACCTTCACCAGATGCATCGCCGGCATCATCGCTGCTATCGAATACAATGCGACCTTGAGAATCGATGGCCAAATGGTTGAGAAGTAAGCCTTTTGCGCCTCCTTCATCAAAGTCTGCTGAAGCTTTTTTGAATAATGGATCAACAGAGAATTCGAGTTCGAATTTTTTCAATTGTAGCGATGCGAATGAGCTTGCTAGAGTTGCTTCTGAAGAGCGCTGAGCCTGTTTGAATCAGTAAATACTTGTTCAGGTCAGGTCAGGTCAGGTCAGGCGAGGCGAGCCAAGCGGGTGGTTAAAAAAGACGAGAAGAGAAGAAGCAAAAAAATATTTGCAGTTCTAAACACTGCAGCTCAAGGCACGCTAAGGAACAGAATAGCAAGGAAGTTGTTCCTCCTCAGAAAAACGAAAGCAAACAGCTCAAGACTTTGGGCAAAAGAAAAATCAAAAAGAAATATGAATCTGTATCCGAGCGAACTCAGGGACATGAACTCAAGAGAAACCTCTCTGACCTGGGAGGAGTTAGCATGGACATGCCGTCTGCGAAAGATTTGTACTTACGGGGAGTCGAACCCCGATCTCCCGCGACTTGTCGATTGACAAGCGGAAATCATGACCGTTAGACCATCAAAGATTGTGCTTTGTGAGAAGTGATGTCCGGCACTCGTTAGATGAGGATATATCCATCCGCCCGAGCGAGAGGCAGCCCTAAGCTTGACGATTTCCGGTGGTTGTGTGGAGAGTGCTTGATTTGCGCCGAACTACTTTGCAGAAGTGGGGGTCGACTCCTACACTACAGCCCGGACTTGGAGCTGAAGCCGGCCTTCTTCCGCCATGGGCCGAGAGAGTCCGATCTCGTCCACTTTGTGTACTTTGCTTGCCAGCGCTTCGGGTCGGCCAAAGAAAAAAGAAAACTCCCCAGCCAAGTAAAATCAGAGAGGTTATTTTGCCAGCACAAGACGTAAATGGAGAAGAAAAAACAATTGCGGTGACAACATAGATCTTGTCGTGGAGAGACTCCTCCCTCAGAATGATTGAAGCCGACAGAAAAAAAAAATGGCAAAAGTTATATTTCCGAAACGGGGAATTGAACCCCGGTCTCCTGCGGCCATCCTGTATCTTGCAGGTGAGAGGCAGAAATGCTAGCCACTACACCATTCCGGACACCCTGAGTGATTCCTATTTATTTGCTCATATATCTGCAATACGTAGGGAGTGCGCCCAGGAAATCTTCTCCAACCACTGAGACACAAGCAGAGGACCGGCATCATACGCTCGGCAGAAAATCGGCTGGCCCCTCGACGCCAAGATCTTTGTTCTCCGACGGAAAAAAAAGACGCAACACACCTGGTGTCCACTGTTGCCCTTGAAACAATTTACGACAAAGTCGAAGTAGTGTTGCGGACACAAAACCTCCTTTCCGTCTTGGCCAAATAGAAATGGCCCAAAGTCCAGACAGAATTGATGGGTGATGATGACCTGGAGGAATTCTTCCCCAAATATCTTTGTAACAACCCAACAGCTAACCAACGGCCAAAAAGTTCAAAATAACGAAAAACGAGGTTTTGAACCACACCCGATTTGAACGGATAACCTTTCGATCTGGAATCGAACGCGCTGCCATTGCGCCAGCGGTCCTGACTGTCACAGACATACAACAGCAGGTGTTCGCTGGTGGTCACCCACCCAACTACTAATCTGCCGATCTGGTGCTTGTGTATGGCAGAGCGGACGGGATGCCCATTTCTCACCAGTCTATGGTCGTATGTAGCAGGGATGCCATTATCCGGGTACACATAACATGTCGAGCATGACAGATTTCGAGTCTGCCATAGCTCTCCGTTCCGTCGAAGCTAAAAGACGACATACAGCAACATTGCACTTGCAATTTGCGCTGTGGATCCCTCCAGAGAAACAATACTTGCGACGCAATGGCAAGACCACCAAAACTCAAGACATAAAAAAAAAGTTCGCGTACCCGTTTCTTTGGCTTCTTCTGTACAACTCCATTCTCATCCTCCACCTCTTCCTCGCTCTCTTCCCCTTCTTCACTTTCGCCCTTCTTCTTCTTGTTGTTTCCACTGTCTGCCAGTCCACTCAGGAGCTTTCCTGTTTCCGTAGCCACGCTGTCGACTCTGCTGGTATAGATCTTGACACAACCGTCCAGCGTGCAGCTAGCTTTCTGGAAGTTGACCCCATCGCCCTCCTTCAGAAGCGACATGTCGTGAAAGTAATCGATAAGAGCGAAGTTCCAGGAATTGGCCGCATTGATCTTGTTGTCTGTGGCCATCTTCATCCATTCCTCGAAATTGGCAAGCAAAGGCACCCGCTTCATGGGGGTCACAGCGGTTCCGCCAACCATCATAACTCCTCCATCCAGATCATTCTCCTTCCCCAGTGTCCGCCGTGGTGTTTTCGGGTTGGAAGATGGCGAAGAACTTCCGGCTCGTTCAAAGTTGGACAATTTGCGCATGGGAGAGGCTGCAGCCTTGATTTGGTTTATGTGCATATCATGGAGAGCATGCCGCGACTGAAGCCGCTTTGCCTTTTCTTGCGCATCGTCGTTGAGGGGAATTCTGCATGCTGTTAGAATTGCTGGCATACATCGCAAGGAGATTCGTACTTCACTGGTGACTTGAAGGGAGAGGCAGCGATGGATGCAGAGGCAGCCTTGCCTTGACTGGCTCCACGAGGATTCTGCGCAACTCGAGGCATTGCGATTCCGTTGGTGGTGTGGTGTGGTGTGGTGTGATGTGATGTTGAAGTATCTTTGTTCGCAAGGCAATCGATCTTCAAATCGCAATGTTTACTTTGGTTGACGCGCTTTGTTTACGCCCCACCTTGGCAGCAGCAGGCCAGGTGTTAGCCAGGCTGAGGCCAGCGGGAGCGGATCGATTGCGCGTTGCAGGCGGCTGCCGTACTCGAGTAGTGGCTCAAGTCCCTCCCTGAGGTTGGGATGATACAACATCACCGCTCCACACTTGAAAGTCATATCTGTTACAACTTAACATCAAGAGGACAATGAATGAATGGAACTACGAAAAGACATGCATCACGTGGGCGAATACTCAGCTTCAAAAGATCCCTACGCCTACGGTCCCTACGGACATATGAGGTAGGTAGGTAGGTAGGTATGTAGGTGCCTAGGTACCTTTCGTACTGTACGATGATGGATGGTACTTGTAGTACTGTAGCATGCAGGAAGCTTACTGTAGGGGCCTAGACTTTCAGATTGTTTGATACTCGCTCCTCCTGGTTGGGCGACTGGGGGGACCGAGGCTGAGGTAATTTATCCTATCTTATCGGAGCATTACAGTACAGTACCTACAGTACAGTACCGTACTATACAGTACTAAAGCGTACAGTAGCGAGCGGGGTGGGGCTCTTGCACGTGCGATAGCAGGTACAAAAGTTAGACAGACTCTAGCTTCCGGGTTCAGGTTCAGATTCAGGTTCAGGTTCAGGTTCAGGTTCAGGTTCAGGTCCAGGGCAGCACTCGGCAGGCCAGCGTCATCGCCACACAATACTTGCCGTGGCTTGGGGCCGCCCAGTAGTCTGACGGAATATGTAGTATAGTGAGTGGAACTGTCAGAGAGCGAGCGAGCTAGTTACCCAAGCACGACCGACTCAAATGCTTGATTCCAAGTCTCCAGTCCGTCCGTCCGTCCGGCCGCCGTCCAGCCCAGTCCCACTTCGTAACTTACCTACCTACCTACCTACCTACCTACCTACCTACCTACCTACCTACCTACCTACCTACCTACCTACCTACCTACCTACCTACCTACCTACTCACTCTACTTTCCCTCTTCGCTCCCTTCGATAAGATACTCACTCCAAGGTGTTCCTCTTCCTTGCCTATCTATCTATCTATGTATCCATCCTAATACAACTCCGTCGTCAAGGTCGCAACAGCCCTCGTCTGCACCATTCACACTGCATCCGATGTGTTCCAAATTATAACGACCGGGGATCATGCGACAACAATCCCCAAGTGCGATGCCAAGTGATACGTCGCGATTGCCCAGGAGGTTTAGATTTCGCGCATTCTACGTTACCGTACTCTGCTTGTCTCTGTTGGCAGTTCTCAGTCTCGTAGCTGAACAGTCTGCGAGGTATCGACATGGAGCTCAGTATGGATTGGCGCAAAGAAGAGCTCTGGAGCAATTGGACGCCAACCGACTAGTGAAGAGGGATGAAGAGGTAAGCCAAACTTTCTGCACTTTCCAGCTATCTTTACATTCGACCCCAGACTAACATACTTGCGCCTTGCAGTGTCGTCTAGTTCACCATGCGGAGGATAAATGCGCTTTCATAAAGGCTAATTGCCCCGACGAAGAAGCAGGTCTCTTCTCTTACCTATCACTCTACTACTGCGGGCTTCAAAAGGCGCAACCTGTAGCCTTCGTCATCCTTTCATTATGGCTTGCCTTACTATTTACTACCATTGGAATTGCTGCTTCGGATTTCTTTTGCATCAACCTCAGCACAATCGCATCTATACTGGGAATGAGCGAGAGCATGGCAGGAGTGACGTTTTTAGCATTTGGAAATGGAAGTCCGGATGTGTTCTCCACGTTCGCGGCAATGAGTTCGCATAGTGGAAGTCTAGCCGTGGGGGAGTTGATCGGCGCAGCTGGATTCATTACCGCGGTCGTAGCGGGTTCTATGGCTTTGGTGCGGGAGTTCAAGGTTGGAAAGAAAACGTTTGTGAGAGATGTTGGATTTTTCATTGTTGCTGCGTGCTTCAGCATGGTCTTCTTGGCCGATGGGGCGTTGCATCTGTGGGAATGCTGTGTAATGGTCGCATTTTACGTCTTCTATGTGGTAGTGGTGGTCGTATGGCACTGGTGGCTTGGACGGAGACGAAGTAACCGTGAAAAGGAGGCAGCTGCCCGAGGACAATATCTGGTCACGGCAAATGAGGAGATAGAGATATCTGAAGAAAATGACGACGACGAAGATGCACCGGCAGGTACGCCCAGATCCAGAGGCGCGGAAGATTTCGGCGCTTTGGAGCGAGCGGGAAGTCCAGCGTTTCTCGGTGATGAGAGTGACGAAGATGGAGTCGAGGGGATGCAATTAGCAGCAGAAATGGCAAGCAGTATGCGAGTCACCAGACCATCAGGGAGTCGAAGAAACACCATCACCCCAATTCGGCCAAGTTTAGTGGGCGCTTTGGAGTTCAGATCAGTTCTTTCGTCGTTGCAAAAATCTCGGGGGTCACATGCAAGGCCTATCCATCTACGCAGATATTCAGATGATCCTACGTCGGGCTTGGCCTCCCAGATTGATGATACAGAAGCACCGCAAGAACATTACTCAGATGCTCCCTCTGATCCAATCATGGCAGGGTCAAGTGAGAGTGATCCATCCAGGCTTGGGGCCCCTATTACCAGGACAAGAGCTGTATCACTTAACGATGCAGCCAGTGCCAAACCAATCGATCCTGCTGCATTCAGTGTGGCGACGATACCATTCATCGGAGTTGTTGCGGCAACCCCAACTTTTCCGCGAAATCTCGAAGTGCCTGGCCAAGAGCTCGTCCAGAGCTCTCCATCTGTGTCCGGGCGTCCAACGCCTTCGCCGACATTTTCCATCTCTCCTCCACCCTCCCTGCATGGGCCTCGGGATGCTAGTCCTACCCCTTCCCAAGAACCGAACAATCGCGACACTCTCGCGCCACCAGGAGACGGCTTCCCCGGGGCAAGACATTTACGTACTGATTACTTCAGAGATCATGAGGTAGAGAGAGACTCTGTCCATGCCTCCTCCCATACGAGATCAAGAGCTGCTCAACGTCCCAGGCTCCAGATTCCTGGTTCTTCATCAAGAGATAGCTCGTACACGCGAACCCTCTCACCAACCATCCAATTTCCAGCCTATACTGATTCGCCTGCACCCATGTCAGCCGTCAGCTCGGGAGCCCCAAGTATAATGCTTCCAGAGCCAGAATTAACTACTCATTCTGCACTTGGTAGCCACGACCTAGACTATCAGGAAAGGCCGATCTGGTGGTGGCCTTATCTATATCTTCCAAGCCCTCACGTAATGGGGTCGACACTGTTCCCCACACTGTATACATGGCGAGAAAAGTCTATATGGGATAAATTTGTGGGACTTGTATCGGCACCAAGCATTTTCCTCTTGGCAATCACTCTTCCGGTCGTGGAGTCTGATAATCAAGATGGTGAAGAAGCAGAGGAGGCTACCCTTGAAGAGAGAACCCCATCAATGCTAAGGCGTTACAGTAGCAGTGTTCCTCCTTCGACACCACGTAGCTCGTCCTTAGAAAATGAGCCAGAATGGATCCGTTATCGCAGAGCTACGGAATCTCACAACCATCCACGGTCGCCCCAACCTCGAGGGTATAGTGCACATAGCTCTGCTGCTGTAGCTGTATCGGCCGAGAACCTCCGCCATCATTCTCATCTAGAACCGATGCTCGCTAAACAATCATCTGTCTCGCAAATGGACGGCCCTCCGATTAGTCCAACAGTAGTGTCTTCTCAGGACTGGAACCGGTGGCTCGTATCCGTCCAGATCTTTTCCGCGCCTCTGTTCGTAGTTATCATTATCTGGGCCAACAGCGCCGAGGGCAATACTCGACTTCTCGTGCAGATGCTTCTCTACTCTCT